GGGCTAGGAAGGGGGATTGTGAATGTTGAGAGTTTCGCAGCGCTGAAGGCTGCTGGGGAGGCGTATAAAGCGCTTGGGGAGGAGGGGATGGGGGAGAGGTGTGAGGTGGAGGCGAAAGGTATGTGGGAGGTTATTACGGGATGTGGGGTCGGTGTTCAGGAGGTGTTCAAGGGATCTCGTTGAGAGAAGGAGTATAAGGATGCTATATCGTGATTGTACATAGAGAATTTCATTTAATCCGGAATTATACACATTATCGGAGACGATCATGTAGCTTCTTTCTTTTCGAGGTGTTTTGTTGGCCAACTCGCTTAGCCTGAGAGTCCAGCCAACACGTTTGACGAGACGAGCAAAGAAAGGATATCTAGGCCCCGGCTCAAGATATGGGAGCAAAAAGAAAAGAAGAAAAAAAGAAGGAATAAGATTGACCCTACCGGACAGGTCGATGTAGCTAAAGAGATACAACGACTTGCCCGGCTCGGGTCGCTGGGCTTCATCAGGACTTGAACCTGAATCTCATGGCGTGTTCTTCTTAGCCATGCGTGCTACCAATTACACCATAAAACCGATATATGTTTGTGAGTTGGATGTTGAGAATTGATTATTTGATTCTGTATCATAGATAGAACTTTGCACAGAAGTGAATTTGAGGCGGTCGTGGTCTTGGGGAGTAGAATAGGTAATGCTTGGAGTGCAAGCGAAGGCTTTGGCCCCTCCTTAAGAGAGGCAAAAAGTATCAGGAAGAAAGCCACCTCATGAGTTCCTTGGAAAGGGGAGACATCTATTCAGAAGCTTCCCGAGCATTTCCTGTTTCTGATCTTTAATTTCCAAGCCTTGCTCATGATGCCTTGCTTTGGGACGGAGACGGATGGGAGCTCGCGAACAAACAGCAAAAGTGTGAACACGCCAACCGGGCCCGAACGAGGATCGAACTCGTATCTCACAGCGGTTAAAACTTAAAGCTGTGCGCAATACCGTTATACCATCAAGCCTTCCATCTAACTATTGACAAGATCTACTTATCCTTGTACGAATATAAAATCTCAGACGTAGGGAGTGCTGTAGGCAGCAGTCCTCCTTGGCAAGAGGCACAGAGGAGGAGTCTTGGCAGGTGCCTACCCAGCTGAAAGAAGCAGCGAGAGGAATGGAATTTTCAGAGAAGGCCGAGTGATCATGATTAGTAAACCTGGATTGAAGAAAGTGGATAGCACGTGGGAGCGTTACGTATCGTCAGTTTGCTTCTTCGTAGCTGGCTGTAGTTGAGCAAGAGTTGGTGGAATGGATCGGGTAGCGAAGAGACCACGAGATTCGAGCATCTGTAACCACGGTCAAGTTCGAGGGTCGAAATGCGACATGCAACAAAACTTCGCTTAACAGAAAATTTCACTCTGATTGGCCTGCTACCTGCAAGCTGAGCTCCCTCGGATCCAGAACTAAACATAGGCTGTGGCTTAGGCGTTTGCAATCGCGATTAGGTAACATAGCAAGAGCAAGAGGAGCGTATGACATGAATAACAAAAGAGGGTTTCATGCCAGATCCTGCAATTCGGCGCATAGTTTTGTAAAACAAAAAAATTATGTTTGTGAGAGACTTGCTGACCTCCCATTGGCTCTGATCTATTCTGAGTTGTCGCCTCGGCCCGCCCCAACGCGCAGATACACAAATGTTATCGTAGCTTTAGGGATTCGAACACAAAGTCCATACCTGAATCTCAGCCTCTCAAGAGTAGTGTCAATCCCGCCGATGTTAGAAGCCTGAGGGCAAGCGATACAGCCTGAAGCTCAATCTTTTTGGCACTGACACTTCCAGAACTGCGGTATTTTGGCAATCGGGGTGCCTGCATTTCACCCCGCATTTGGGGTTCCTTGCCGAATTCCACCTGGTACTTTTGCTTCCAGTGACACCAGAAAATACTGCTACAGTAACTAGGCAGGTTCCTTCATGTATGGGCAGTATTGAGTGCATTTCATGACGTGTTACAATCCGAAACGTGTGCTCGTATTCAAGCCTCCAACTAAATTCTAGAAGGAAGGTGTCGTTTCTCGGATAAGCTCATCGCTCCTATCTCACCCTCTGGCTATCAAAACAATTCAAGCCACTTCCCCGCCTTAAGATAAACAAGCTTCCACACTTTCCCTTGGAGCTCATGATAAGCTCCGCAAGCTTTCGCCCAGGGATGCGCCAAGGGTGGGTGAAGGAAGGCCCTCCTTCCTGTTGTAGTTAGAAAGACGTCCAATTCAATCTCGCTAGAGGCTGCACCCGGCCAGGATTCGCGATGCAGCTGCCCATTTGATCCTACGCTGAATGTTCCTGTACCTGACTTCTTGCCAAGAGGGGCAGGTACAACGCAAATCCTATGCAGGAAGCTTGATAGCTGAGGGATCAACGGACGGAATGTGACATGGAGTAGAGCAATGATGGATTGGGATAAATGGGAGCTGTTCCTTCTCTTTCCCCTCCTTCCTCCCCCACCTCCATCCTTCATTTCCTTGCTCTCGAGACAACTTCAATTCCTCAATCGAATTGCAGACTTCGTTTCAAGATGTTCGTCAAGCTGTCGGCTGTTTTGAGCATTGCTGCTCTCTGCAGTGCTGCCCCTTCTCCAGTCAAGCATGTTCTTCATGAGGAGAGAGCTGTTGAGAGTAGAGATTGGATCAAGGGCTCCCGCCTTGAGAAGAGTGCCATTATTCCAATGAAGATTGGTCTTACTCAGACCAACTTGGATTTGGCCTATGACTACCTCATGGACGTGTAAGTAGCTACAAACCTCCACTCAGCAATTTCCTAGCTTCAATTAGAACCGCACGCTGACACCAAACAGCTCCAGCTCCGACTCTGAGAATTACGGCAAGCATTGGACTCCAGCACAGGTTCACGATGCTTTCGCTCCCAAGGAGGAAACAGTCACCAGCATTACTCAATGGCTCACCGACTCTGGTATTGATGGCTCCCGAATCATGTTCTACGAGAACAAGGGTTGGATTTCAGTCGATGTGACTGTTGAGGAGATCGAAGCACTGCTGCTTGCCGAGTTCCACGAGCACGAGCACAGCCAGACCTCAAAGATTCGGGTAGGCACAGACAAGTATGTACTTTTTCCCGTGATTTGAGATTCCGCTGACAGATTCAAGGTACCATGTCCCAGAACATCTAGTCTCTCACATTGACTATATCACACCCGGGATCAAGCTCTCGCCCGTCACCAAGCGAACTGTGGACAGAAAGACCAAGCGAGTCAGCCACTCGATCCATGCCCCAGCTCATGTGAGCATTCCAGGAAACGAGGGAAGCGTGGGAATCTCTGCTGCAGCTGCTGCTCTACCACCTGCTTTGCAGAACTGCAGCACGAACATGACACCAGACTGCATCAGAGCTCTCTACAGCATTCCAGCCAATCCTGCCAAGGTCGGCGACAACTCTCTTGGTCTTTACCAACAAGGAAGTTACTTTGCCGAGTCCGACGTCAACCTCTTCTATGCGAAGTTTGCGACATACATTCCACAGAATACTTTCCCCATCAATGCCACCATTGATGGAGCGTCATATTCAGTTCCTGCTGCCAGTGAGCTGAACAGCGGAGAAGCCAACATCGATATTGAGATGGCGTAAGTGTCCCCAGACTCATCTGACATTGCCAGATATCGTTACTAATTGCTTGTAGAACTTCCTTGATCTACCCTCAAACTGTCACTCTATACCAGACCGACGACGATATCTATGAGCCACAAGAAGTCGCAACCACCAATCTCTTCAATACATTCTTGGATGCTTTGGATGGATCATACTGCAGCTACTCTTCCGATGGCCTGACAGGCGATGATCCAACTATCGATCCCGTCTATCCACACAATGTTCCAGGCGGCTACAAGGGCCAGAGACAGTGCGGTGTTTACAAGCCGGTAAGTGATGCAACTTTGTACGACTGTTCACATTGCTAATTAAAACCCAGGCCAAGGTCATATCTGCATCTTACGGTCAAGCCGAAGCCGATCTCCCGGCGCCTTATGTTCGCCGCCAATGCAACGAGTTCATGAAGCTCGGTCTCCAGGGTGTCTCTGTTCTCTTTGCATCTGGAGATTATGGTGTCGCTTCTTTCCCAGGAGATGGATCTGCTTCAGGATGTCTCGGACCCAAGCAAGAGATCTTCAACCCACAATACCCATCAGGATGTCCTTACGTCACCTCTGTCGGAGGCAGTCAACTTGCACCAAACGGTACTGTTTATGATCCAGAAGTCGTTATGAGCGATGATCTAGGTGGAAGTGCTGTCAACTTCTCCTCATCTGGAGGCTTCTCCAACTACTTCCCTCGTCCAACATATCAAGATGGACACGTCCAGACATACTTCCACCGCGCTCACCTTACCTACCCCTACTACTCTGAGCTGAACGTCAACGTCAACACCACCACTGGAAGATACAACCGAGTCGGCCGAGCTTACCCCGATGTATCTGCCAACGGAGCACACTTCCCATCCTACCTGAACGGCGTACTTTACCATTTCTACGGTGCATCGCTATCTTCCCCTCTGTTCGCCGCCGTCTTGACTCTCCTGAACCAAGAACGTGCTGCTGCTGGAAAGGGGTCTATCGGTTTCATCAACCCGGTTCTGTACCGCCATGACGATGTTATGAATGATGTGGTTGAAGGGACTAACCTGGGATGCGGTACACAAGGCTTCCACGCTGTCAAGGGATGGGATCCAGCAACGGGTCTTGGTACGCCAAATTATCCTAAGATGAAGGCGCTGTTCTTGTCTTTGCCATAGGAGGACATTTAGTTGCTAGTTGAAGGAGATGAAAAACACCTAGCTGTAACTCGGAAGAATAAATGAAATAATTACAGTTTCACATGCTTTGATGATTAGGTGTCTGAAACGTGATGGTTAAACTTTGTGGTTGCGTACATATTTTTTAGCATTGAAATTGTCTGGACTTAGTTTGACTAATTCGTGCTTTCTGACCCCAAACCTCTAATTTTGTTGTCGGTAGGACTGCTGAATATCATTCACAAGCACCGTCCAATATAGTCATGACGATCTACTGATTTACATCCATGCTACACAATCCAGAATGTTGTAAAACAGAATAATCACCCTTACTAGATGAGCTGCATGTTTGCGTAGTCACAGACTCTCAAGTCTCAGCAAAAGGGGAGCTTGTGAACTGTAGACATTCACAGAAGTAGCGTTAGGCAAAGTATAAATAGATGATCCTCTCCTAGAGTCTTCTGTTTCTATTTACACTTCAAGATATCCAATATCCTTACGCTGGACAAATACGGGAAGGTGTTGACTTGCAGTACAAACCAAGAATAGCATCCTATTGAAGATAACCGAACTCAAGGTGCCAGAATCTACGGCTTGCAATAGGCAGGCGCATCATTCACTCACGACATCTACCCAACTGCTATCCTCAAGAAGCCGCCAGCCAGACGCGTAGGAATCAAGTATGTGCGGCTACGCCATCCCCTACTGCTCGAGATGTCCCAAACCGTTAGCGCAGACGACAGAACGTACAGATATTTGCAAATATGCCCAAGATGGGAAGGGGAATTGTAAAAAGAT